AAATATATAAGAAAACAATAAAATAAATAATCAAAGCTGATTATAATAGATAAATATTTTAATTTAAATATCTTTATTGAATCATCTTAATATTTTAAATTAAATTCTAGTTATATTTTATATCATATTACACCACTATTTCTCACTGTTAAAGAACTTGTTGAGTCCACCATTGTTGTCACACAAATGGGAATTAGAGAGGCAGTCAAATGAGTACCTTGGCAAATTTGTAATGTGGGTAAGGTTTACACGACAGATTTACTGACTAGGAACAATACATGTGACAAAAGGGTTACGTGGCTTTTAAAATGGATCCTGTGCCATGTGGCAAATGTTCATATGTTTTTCTATTACGATCGGATAACATTATATAACTTTTTAAACTTTCAAGAGCACATTGCTCCTTTTAAAAGAGAAAAATATCAATTGTTTATTTGAAAAATTTTTCAATATATTTTTTCCTTTTAGCCCGATGTGAAATTGTGAAGGCACCTGCCTATCATTTTAAATTACTACATATACTCATAATGGTATAGTTGAAAAACGTTATCCTATTATGTTTAATTTTAAAATTGATAACAAGGACATTCTTTTTTTTTTAATAATTTGGTACCTCGGGAACTCCAAATTAAATCTTCATGTATTTACCATGAAGACTAAATTTGTTGGTAATTAACAAGGAAATTAAGTTTTATATATGTTAGTTCCTCTGAAAAAAAAGAAAAAAGAATCATTTTTAGTGTGCGTTCTCCTCTTTTAAGGTGCTGTTTGTTACGGGCTGAGAGCGTGACATGTTGCTCTTCTACTCGCATACTAATCAATGCTGCATATGCTTATCAACGCAAAGCAATTAATTATGGGCCTTCAATTATTGGATTTATGTGTAACATCACTCTCTTGTTTCGTTTTTTTCATTGGGATACATCCTTGTTGTTTGATTGTTCTTTCCTACCGTAGATATCATTATTATTTTGTTTTTATATATAAGATAAACTATGACTTATTTTTTTGTTTTTATGTATAAGTAAAATCATACATTTTAATAAATAATTATTATAATTTTTTTAAATTATTTTTCATGAATTCATAATTTTTATTCACGAGAAGCAATTAATGCAGTCTTATTTATATTAAATATAAAGGTATTTTAATTCATTTTTTTTATTTCTAGACAATTATTATCGTCAACCAATTTTCTAAAATTATTCATACAGTTATTTTCTATTATACTCCCTTCATTTTTTTTGTTAGAAAAAATATTACTTTTTACTTGTATTTTTTTAAAAGCAAAATCACTCATTTTAATTAATATTTATTACATATTTTTTAAATCACCCTCATAATTTACATTAATAAAAAATAATTAATGCATACTTATATATGTTAATTAATACAGGATATTCTAATTTTATTTTTTATTTTTAGATATAATTATTATACTTAATTAATTTTTTTAAATTGTGTGATATTATATATATAAATATATATATGTAAACGGTGACGGCGGGAGTAAATAAAAACGGAAATAGCATATTGCTTCATTTATTAGCGGAGTAATAGCCCAACGTTGAGACGCACCTGCTCCTGTATATATATAAAAGTCACTCTTGAAAAAGAATTGATAGCCTTTTTGAAAAGTCTATTTGCACAGAAAATTGGATTTCTTTTTTACCTTAAAAAAGATGGATTGTTATATCCTCTCGAAATTTTTTACGAGCAGTACGTAGAATGTTACGATCTATACTCTCCCATTTTAAAATATAAATATTTTTTTCAATCCAAATATAAAGAACTTAATATTTGTAAGTAAAAAAAATTATTTTACTCTTTATATTTACTAACTTAAATTCTTGTGTCTATGAATTCATGACATTTTTCTCACTCATTATAAATTGAAATTAAGAGTAAAAAGAAAAAATAATATATATTTTTATGAGAATAAATATTTTATTTGTATACAAATTATCATTAAAAGGTGCTTGTATTTTGAATTAGAAGGAGTATATAAGAAAAAATGTTTTTTTAAATAATGCGTTTGATAAGAATAAATTACAAACTTAATTATTATTTTTTCAGACAACATTAATAATTTAATTGCCTCTCATTAATTCCAGTCAAGTACTATGAGATTGGAGAGAGTTAAAGAAGCAAGCAGTTGATGTTGTTCATTATTGTTTAATTACATTTATTTAGAATTAAAGCACAACTTTATTACCGGCCAGTTCCACACTTTCACATATCAATTAATTAACCTAACTAATTGAGGATGAATGTACTACCTCCAGTTATTTATACTCAATCCATCTTTATATATAAAATATTTTTAATTAAATCACATAAACTAATAAAAATTTGTTATCTAATTAAAAACAATGCAACATTTTAATTTTGCTCCTAATTATTGTAAATAATTTTTTTTCAAAGTAAATTAATAAGAGCATAGTTGTCAGACTTTCGAGTTAACTTTAAGAGTTTAACATTTTTATATTTTTAGCTTACAGAATCATGTCAATTTAGTCATAAACTCAAAGTAGAAACAAATTTGATTAAACTCGTATTTACTTTTGAGTTTACTATTTTTACATTTTTAACTTATAAAATCATGTCAATTAATTCATAAACTCAGACTAGATGCAAGTTTGGTTATATCAATTTTTTTTAGTTGAGTGAGTTAGATATATATATATATATATATATATCATGAAGAATTCAATTTATAAAAGTTATAAGACTTGGTTCAAAGAAAAAAACTTAAAATACAAAAACTAATATTAATAAAAAAAGAAAACAAAAATACTAAAAATAAGTTCTCCTATTTTAAAATTTTTATGTCTTGTATATGATAATTTATCAATGTAGATGGGTTTAATTTCAATGATTTATATTTTTAATATATTTAAATTAAATTACAATCATATTTTAATGGCTATTTATTAATAGAAGTAAACTCGTCGAGTTTGTGATATGAGTTTATATTCCTGTCACGAATTTATTTAAACTTGTGAGTTTAACAACCTTGAATAAGAATACTAATCTTTTTCTCTTTTCAATTTAATAAGGATATAGTGGTTCATTCATTAAAAAAATATGCTAATAACCTCTTATATTTAGGGATAAAAAGAAGTTTCAGAAAAACTCTTATATATAAGGGTGAAGGGAGTAACTTGTTCTTGCATTTTTTTTATTATCTAGATTAGAGATTTATCTTAAAATTCATTAGCACCATCTAATAATTTAAAAAGTTTTCAAATTCACCTATATTAAATGCATTCTTTTTTTTAAAAAAATCTTTCTTTACTATATGGATGTTAAAAAGGGGTAAATTAAGAAAATTGTAATGAATAATCAATGTGATGCATTATAAAAAAGATCACACATTCCTACTAGCTATACTATGTTATTTGTCAAGGCTTTAGAAAGTTTCAATATTCGAGACTGATCATTTGTCTTCCCTTTTTTGTTGAGACTGATCATTTTTTCACTTCTCTATCTTTTTATTAAACTGAGGATTATAAGTTTCTGTATCATCATACTAAAATTGTTTCTGAAGTTCAATATATTATTTGAATTGACATTGGCTTATATATATAGCTGAACACACGTGACATAATGAGACATAACCTGAATGAGCTTCGACCATATATAGATATGACACCCATTTTGCTTGCTTTGTTGAGGTCTTTCCGTTGGCCTCAAATTAATTAATTAATTTTGGTACTTTTTAATCGACAATATGCAATTTATAAATTGAGATTCTTCATAGAGCAGCTTTGATCCCGAATTTACGATATTCCGTAATTATAATATTACAAGTACGATGGGCTTTTTAAAAAAATGAAAAACGATGAGGTCATGTACCGGTGGTTATCAGACATGCATGCCAAAAGATGCCAACTGAATTGCTGATTTCGTAGTCTTGGTACCAGAATCAGTCCCAAACTCTGTTTTTCGTCCTCATAAATAATTATGAATGTGAATAAATATTATATTAAGACTCTTACTTTATCATAAATAAAATGAAATTTATTTCATTAATTATACATGCCTATCTATCATTTTCCTAGTAGCTAGTTAGCTCGCTCACTCCAAATCATAATTGAAGCCCATGTTACTCTGAGAATTCCAACTTATTAATTAATAATATCATTTTCAATCACAACCCACCACAGAATACCATATATAATAGCAATAATTCATTTGCTCCATAATTTATTACTTCTCAATTTTATATATAAGAAGTTTTTTTAAATTTTTTTATTTTTAAATATAAAAAGTTGTCAACATATTTATTAATAAATGGACCATTATACTTTTATTATATTAGAAAGAGAAAAAAAGTGTTCATAAATTTTTTTAAAAAAATTCATTTTTATTTATAACAATTAATAAAAAATAAAATATTATTGTACTTTTAAGTAAATAACTAACTTTTATTAATTTATATAATTTAATTAAAAATATTTTATATATAGATATGAATGGAGGGAGTATATCTTAAAAGGAAATTTTTTTTTTGTTTTCAAGTAATAAAAAAAGCAGGAAGAATTCGATTTTAAGAAACTATTGACTTTGACAATTTAAGACGACTCAAATTACATGAGAGGCAAGATATTCGTTTAATTACATGACTTTGTTATACAGGTTGAACAAATAAAAGCAAGTTCTTTGTATTTTGAACGTAAAAGTGGGCTCAATTATTTCTGTGTAGGGTTGGTTTAATTTTTTAATTGATTTATATGTGCCACAAATTTATTAACCTTATAACAATAAAACCCTTTTATTTATTTTATGGGTCTGTGTGTTTTTTATGCAAGGTGAACCAACCAGCTGTTTAGGAGCAGACAAGGCTCCAGAACATTGTCTCACATCAGTGGGCGCAATGCGCACCACCTTCAATGTCAGTGAAGCGGGCTTCATCTTCCCCAATCAGGACATATCTGGACCAATCTTCACAAGCTAAAACGAGTTCAAGATTCCTCTGACAAAGGAGAATTCATTCGTTGTGTAAGAAATGGAATTAAATTCACTTCCATTTATGAATTCTGAGTAACTTACAAGAAAAAACACTTGTTTGCTTTTCTGTTACAACTTACAAGCAAGGAAACTTCTAGAACATCTCAACAAGCACAGGGATGAAGGCAATGAACAATCTCATGTTTTTTTTTTTTTTTTATGCCAAATCTGTGATCGAGCAAACCAAAATTCTAGCTGAGTAGTCATGTGTAATTGTAAAGCGTTAATTAGGTCTCCAAAAAGCCAGTCATTCTGAGAATGGAATTCCGGACCCGGCTCAAATCCCGGCCCTTGAGAGTCCGGCCGTTCCCCGTGCACACCGAGAAGGCCATTTTCCCGGCAATCCTCCGCCCGACAATCACGTGCGGCGGCACCATACCTTCGTCCTCCCACTCTTCCTCCAGCTGCTCCTCCCTATCCATACACCGGAATATGCTCTCCGGAATGTTCACCGGCAGCGAATTCGCCACGATCTTCCTGGAACTCTTCCGGCTCTTGGTCGATTTATTCCGCGAATTCCACTGCTGTTGCGGCGGCTGAACGGTAACTTGTCTGTAATTGTCGGAGTAGCAAGAATCGTGGTCATCAACGACGTCAGGGGAGGCATGGCGGTGGTAGTGATCGGAGAAGACGACGTCGGACTCTTGGAATTCGTCGGCCATGATAGAGAAAACGAGAAGGCTGTGATAAAACAGTGAAGAAGGTAAGGGGTTAGGGGCCTTGTTATTTATACAGATGGAAATCAGAAAGGAAGTGGACGGAAGTTTGATTGGGTTATGTGTGCTGGCGTCACCATAAAGGCGTTGAGTGCGGTCCCCGCCTTCCCTCCCTCCCTGCGTTTGTGTGTCAGACTTAACTTTCATTTTGTGTTTCTAAAAATAATGTTATAAACTTGTTTCGTGTGAGTCGGCGGCCTAAAACACTAAAACAGCTTCCGTTACTTTGGGCCCACGTCTTTAACCCAAGAATGCATTTCCCCACTCATCGCCATTCGCCACTCATATTTTTTAACTTTTTTATTTTTGCGTTATTTCACAGAAGTCTTTTGGTAGGATGTAATATTAGAAATTACTTATAATAATATTTTTTGATCACCAATATTAATCAAACTTAAGCGTCATTGGAAATCAACCGGTCAAGAGAGTTAAATTAGCTTATCTTAAAATTTTGAGTTTCAATTTTAAAATATATAATCACATTAAATAAATGTGTTAAAAGCATTTTAAAATTATGCATGAAATTATTATTAATAATAACAGTCTCACATAACAGCAGTCAGATTAGTTTGAGCAGAAGGTGGTAATGTCACAGGTTTTCTAAGATAGTAAGTGGTGAAATGGAAAAAAAAAAAAAATCATAGTGCTTTTAAAAGCAATTTTTTTTTAAAAAATAATCTCACGGGTACTAAATTCGAAATTTCATACTTGAGTGGATTAGAGTCGTATTTATCAAGACCAACGCGGGTTGATGTTTTAGAGAAGTCTTAATCAAATTATAATATATATTTCCAAACGAATATGATTAAGTTATCTGTCTATGCCTAGACGCCATGTAAGATAGTTTATATGAGTTTACATGTGCTTAGCTTTACCATTTTTCTGTCGTTACACCATGTTTCATAAATTAACATGCACACAAATGTACCACTGTCAATTCGTAAGTTGCTTTTAAGACTCAACACAAAAAAGTAACCAAGTTGTAGTAATTTAATTAAATAAAGAAATTACAGTTGAATGACTAAGGAGGACTTCTTTTATTTTTTTTAATTTTCAGCATTCGGATTTTAAATTTTTTGATGAGTATCAGTTGATGTCTGAAATATGCTTGCTACATTGATGGGAAGAATGCTCTCTGTTAAAATTGTCTTGAGAATTAAATTTAATGTCAATTAACATTCAAATTTAACTAATTTCTTTTTTTGGATAATGTTTGTATCGCGATGTTATTATTTACTGTTTATTAATTGTTAATTAACAAATAAGAACTCTAAAATTGATCAAACACACACACACACACAACAGAGATTTACGTTAAACAATAAAAAATCTAAAAATCTTTAAACTAGAAAATAAATGTTTTAATGCTGGTCATTGGTCAAAATTAGGTGACTCATATATCCTTGTTGCAATGTATATAGACATGATAGTGTTCTGGTTTTCCAAAAGAAATCGGTATACATATTTTTTCCACAACAAGTAAAAATGAATTTTTAATTTAACATCTTTTACTCGTGACATAATTGTTCCAATATGTTATAATTCTACTTTAAGTTAACTCGAAATTAATCTATTTGCCACTGGTTTCTGTCAAAACAATGTATAGATTATTTGGTTGCTTGAAGTTTTTAACTTTGACATTTAGGAAATCTAGAGATAATTTCAAAACCATTTTTTTTCAAAATTTTATTACAGATAGAAACCCTACGTACTATTACACTACTTGGATTGGATTGGGTTTCTTGCGTTCAAATGATCACGTAATAAATTCCACCATTGATGATTAAATATAACTATTCAAGCCAGGAAACTACATATGGTCCCCAGTTTTGGCAACTAATTACTCATTAATTACATTATCTTCTCTTTTTCTAAATTCCTCTAACATGAATTTATGGGATTATATTAATAATGTGAATGAGTTTGGTTTTTGAGAGACGATAATGATGAATGATGAGTCACGTACATGGCATTATTTTAATATGCAAAAGAGAATATACTGGGCCGTAATAACAGGCGTAGGGGAAACCTTTTAAACCGTGATGAATAGATAATACGTGGCGGATAAGATTGGCACGACTGATTTCTTGTTCACCTACGACAGGAAAATTAATTGAAGTCAAAATGTACGTTGAGCCGTAGAGCTCGACAATATAATTAATATAATTTCTCAACTACAAGAATATGTATGGCCTTGTAATTTCGGGTTGGATATTTTTAATTTTAAACTCGTACGTGCATGGAAAAATTTAGATTCCACAAAATCGCATGTTTAACGGGGAGAAACATGAAAAAGATATTTTCCTCACCTTATTTATTTTTCTTCGAGTCACACGACTAGTTTATTCAAAATTTGTGTGGCCAAACAATTTGACTGAGTTGTATGGTTCCTAATGGAGTTTAGAAAAAGATATATCACGGGATATTCTTCGCCCCTGTTGTAATTGTGGTCAAAGAAACTTTTAATTATCGTGGGAATTCAAATTTTTTATGACGACTTTGAAAATATAATTTTCTCACTCACATTAGCGGTGATAAAGTTACATTATTTATTGTGTAATGAGGGGTGTGCAACGTTAAAAAAGAAAAATCAAGTCATCAGTTTGAGAATTTATTTTTGAGAATTTATTACTCACTCTGTTTAAAACTATAAAGCATATTTAATCAAATTTTATCATTTAATAAAATAATTACTTGTCTTTAAATTAATATTTTTTTCATATATATCCTTATTTAATAGAATATTTTACTTTAAAATAAATATAAAATAATTTATTCATTAGGGACACTTAAAAAAATAATTATTATATTTTAAAATAATAAAAATGCTTTAAATTTTGAAATATCAAAATTTTTAAAAAATGTGTTATATTTTGAGAAATTACTAATTAGATGAATTAATCGTACATTTTTGGGCAACATACACACCATTATATGATTGTCTCTCTTCTGCTGGCGTTAAATCTTTTTTTGAATGGAAATGGCAAGCCTAAGGCTTGAAGTTAAATTACAAAAGATTACATATCATGGGCAAATTTTATCAGTGGGCCTATCTTCGCACAACACGGTCTGCAAGGCAACAGGAACTACATGGGCAAATTTTATCCGCAACTCCACAACACGCACAATGCCTAATAGGCCGAGCCGAGCCGAGTGATTTTGGCATTTTGCGATGAAACTGGGGTCTGACAAGAATGATTGGGTAGGACCGTAGGAGATAATTAAGCAAGTAAGCGGGGAAGTGCGTGAGAGTAAAGGGATCTATCTGGCTTTGCCTAGGTCTAGCTCGGCGCATCCCACGGCTCCTAATCCGCATGAGACGATCTTCTTAGAATCACCCAGTACGGCGCGGGTCCCGCACCAAGAAAAACACTTCGTTAGCTTTAATTATTGTTATTACTGCTTAAAATATACTAATAAATAGTTGTATAGTTTTGGGCAGATGGCACATTTAAGAGTTCACCGAGGAAAATAATCGTCAATCTAATCCTTTTCCATATGGCTTCATTCGAAGCCCAGAAAACGACAAACCAATAACGAAGGGACACGTGAAACGGTGGCGTGAGCGAAGAGAGGAATCTTAATAATCTTACGAGGAGAACGTCCCCGCCCTGCTTTGGTGCCACGTTCTCGCCGTTGTTTTCGTGCAAGTCTCTCTCTCGTCACAGTTCCTTAACTTGTTCCCTTTGCTTCTCCCTCACTTACCTTTAATCATTACTCAACTCCTTTTTTTTTTTTTTGTTTCTTAAACTTAGTATGGCATCTATGTTTCTCAATCATTTGCATAATCCTTATCTTCTACGTTATCCATAATATTTTTAATTAACTAATCAAAACAGGACAATAAGTTCTTGCAAGCTGCATGGTTTTAACTTTTAGCTCGTTTAACGTTAACCAGAGGCAGAGAGAAAATGAAAAGAATGGATTTTTTGGTTGTGTTACGTGCGGGGTGAAAGAAAAAGAAAATGCATGGGTGGTTGAGAATGAATGTACATATAAGGAAGGAGGGAGGGTAGGGGAATGAAGTTGACGTTGATAATGATCGAAGTAGGGTTTTTGGTGAGAATGACAGAACCTAATTATTAATAAATAATACATGCATGGATGGCCTAATGTGAATGGTCCTCTGATTTCTAACCCAAAGTCTTAATTCATTTCTCTCTCTCCTTTCTTGTTTTAATTCATGAAAACGATCTTCAACTTATCTCTTCTTCCTTCTCTCCCGACTATGACTTCCTCCGATATAGTACAGTCCGATCCAGTGGGTTTATACTTTATATGCTCTTGTGGATTCCCTCTCTCTTTCCCACGTGTACCATCCTCAGAGTTACATCGCAACCCTTAGATCAATCTGACGTGTATGATTACACCATACACACACACACTTCGAAGTGATCCAAAACCAATGTTTCATTTGCTGACTATGCGTATACATGAGCAAGACCTTCAATCTGCAAAACTCTCGTGTCCTCTCTTCGCCGTGTCTCACAGAAACTTGTGACGAACTAGATTGATACACATGGTGGGAAGCCTGTTCCGACGCGATTATTAATTGCCAACTGTGAACTGGTACTGGTGTGATACATGAAACTTAATTGTGGCCAAACGTCCAGCTCTGCGTGCGTGATAGAGAAGGCTTGTAAATTGGGAATATCTGCACTACAACATTTTTGTTTTATAATAACAGTTCAAAGCTATTGTTATAATAATAGATAAATTTAGAATATGTAATACTCTTAAACTATTGCCTTTCTAAAAGAATAAACAACAGTTAACAATCGTTGTACAAGATTAAAATAGACAAAATTCAATATTTCTTCTTTTACCACTACTACAAAAAAGAGAATATTGGATAGTTCTTTTTGCCTATATTGAATTGTTCATATAACATCGTCATATATTGATAAAATAAATATTAGATGATTATTACAACCATTCAGTATTATAATATTAAATAATTTAAAGACCCGTCTAATATAATCTTAGAATAAGTGATATAGGAAAAGTATGTATTGGACAGTTATTTATTAAAATCGTCCAATATAAGTAACATATTGGACGATTATCATGATAAACATCCAATATTGGATGATTGTGTGGTCACAAGGTCAATCCATTATGTTCATTATATTGGATGGTCTTTGTAAATAATTGTTGAATAT